GTTGCTCCAGTGACGACACACACAGATTAATATTCACCGATCCAAACGGGGTTAGATCGCCGAAATGACAGCCCATGGTCGGATGAAATCCGAGTCAATTCCGGTACGTAGAACCGGCTGTCGTGGGAATTGATAACAATATTTAGTTATTTAATATGCATGAGTGTTAGTGGTTGATGCTGATACTAGGAAGTCGCTTAAATTTGTTTTCAGCCTTCTCACATTTTGATATGCTTTTATAATTGTTATTGGTAATGTCCTCCTTGTTGTCCGCTTCCGCTGTCATAGCAGAGTTAAAAGAACATTACTTCCCTTAGTTTAAAAGTTGTCTGCTAAGGATTCAAAGTATTATTTGAACCTTCTTTCAACTGTTCGTGGAGTTTAGTAATTTTGACTGCTTCATCGTCAGATGTTTCAATTGTGTCATCCGGGATGATTTAACTAACCTCTCTGTTAAATGAATCGCACTCACATGTGTAACCCTCCCCTCCCTAGTAGTAAAGATACTTGAAAACTTGCTACTCCCGAACCACCTGAGTCTAGCATACTTTACGCAAAATGCACTGGACCATCACAGTGACTCTAGACAGCCTGTGCTCCTTCACTCCTCATACGGTCGCGATTATTGTCAAAGTACAGAGCCGCAACAAATTCTATAGTCGCTGTTGGCAACATACAAGGCAATCGGCCGGCCGGTCCTTTACTACGCCGCACCATTATGATCACCTGCATGCAGTGAAAAGCAGAACTTTTGACGCCTTTGGCACAAAAGTTGGTAAATTCAACCTCCTCGAGGAAACATCCCCAAACGAGGCTAACCGACTTCAACGGGGCTCAAAATGTGGTCATCCGTAGTACTAGATTTGAAACGACCGCAATACGTGTGCGATGAGATAGATACTGAAAGTTGAAGAGGGGCGCGAGATGAATGTGCAGGCAAAAACGAAAGAGGACGAAATGCGTGAGTATGAAGAGCTTCTCCAACCTCCTGAACGGCAAAAAGTGTAACACCTGAAGATGGCGAACCTGTTTCCCCAATCGCTGACGAAGAAATAGGTCCCAAGAGAAGGTATGGAAATTGCGAACCAGATTCCTCAATCAATGATAATGGAATATGTGTTGCATTGCCCGACTATGATGAGGTTCGAGTAGCAATCACCCGCCTGAAGAAAAACAAAGCGGCACTAGCCGATGGAGTAACTGTCGCGCTATTCAAACACGGCTCCGCAGAATTGAAAAGGTGCATGCCTGATGATTGGAACTTAAATGTGCTCTGCCCAATTCACAAAAAATGCGACCCCAAAATTTGTGGCAGTTATTATGGGATAAGCTTTATCGGGTATAAGGTCTTATTGAGCGTAGTGGTGAAAGACTGCAGACCACCGTCAACAAACTGATTGGACCTTATCAGTGCGGCTTTAGACCTGAAGATATACTATCGACCAGATTTTCACCTTGCGTCAAATCTTACAAACTACCCGTGAAAGGAAGATCGACATACACCACCTTTTCATCGATTTTAAAGCAGCCTTCGACAGCACGAAAAACTGCCTCTATGTCCCATTATGTGTCCAACGAAGCTTATGGGACTGTGTAATTTGACTTAGAGCAACACCAAAGCTCTCTCAGAATAGGGATTAACCTTTTCGAGCCGTTGGATACCTTGTGAGGTTTCAAACAAGGAGACTCCTTATCGTGTGATTTTTTTTATCCCTTGGTGTGGAAAATAATACGAGATGAAGAGGTAAATAGAGAAGGTACAATCTTTTAAAAGAGTGTAGGAGCTGGCGTACGCGGAACATATTGGTAAAATTGTCCTCAACAACCGTGCCGTTAGTTCTGGTTTCTCCAGACTGAATAAGAAAGCCAAGACCCAAACAAGACGAAATATCTCCTGTCTCAAGCGTACAGTCATCACATTCGCAACTTGGCTCACACGTCACTGTTGACAGGCCTAACTTTAAAGTCGTGGATAATTTCATCTATCTTGGGACCACAATAAACACCATTATTATTATCTGCCGTGAAAACCTACGCAGAATCACTCTTGCCAGGCAGTTGAAAACTAAAGTCTGTCATGAAGAAAAACGGTGCAGGATAAAATCTATGTCTTACTAACTGTCAAATCTATTGCTATTGCCATTGCCAAATCTGTATGTGGTCATTTATTATCATAACATAATCATTTGCGCAAAGGAGGAGCTCTTGAAAGTTTTATTTTATCACATTGCAAAATGCCCTCGGGTAGGTAGCTGATGTAGCCCATGTTTTGAGCTCTCGAACTGTTTAAATCTTTTATGAGGAAAATAAAAAAAGGACTACCATCTTGTTTTTTTTTTCAAATGTATTTCTGGGAAAAATAAGTATTCATATTATTGGATAACTATGTATATAATAATTGTGGCATAAATAATAAATTTAATATGAGCAATGATATTTTGAGTTGTGCTTGTATAAGTTTCTTAAATTTAAGACTTCGCTCATCCCCAACCGAATTTGCATAATTTTTCTGTAAATAAACAATATTAAACTAAATATTAATTTTTGGGAAAAATGTTATGTACTTTATTTTCATAATATAACACAGTCGTCTTAATACTCGCTCTACTAAATTTCATATTACCGAAACGAAAATGCCGTCGGCATATGTGCAAATGGGGATATGTTGTCTCTTCGAAATTTTCATAGAAATGAAAACGGCGCTGTCAAACTGCTGAAGTGACAGATTCGGAACGGCTAATACCGCACTCGATGGAGCAAAGAGCTGTACAAGATATACGAGGTTAGTTCATTGTGTTCGTATGGAAGAGAACACTTTTGCTTGGAAAGTTATCTATTGGGTTCCTGCCGGTGGAAGCAGAAGAGGATCTCCACTTCGTTGGATAGATCAGGGTGGAGAAGGATCTGGTGCCCTGGTATCTCGAATTGTCCCCAATTAGCTACGTCTACGTCAGTAAAAAAAAGATATCAAGAGGATCTCCTTCAGTCTGTTGAAAAAATTGTGTAAAATGTATCTTTTATGCATAATTTAAATTTCTGATATTTTAGTATTCCTTTAATTTTTAAGATGACATTCTATATAACGATTTAAGCTTTCACATCTTTCAATTAATTATTTAAGGGAATCAGCCCAGTCTCTTAACTTTTCTGCAATGGAGTATAATATTTTTCAAAATTGCTTTCCTATAGCGGGCCATGCGCGTTGACCAATGCAAATGTGTTTTAACTCTGAAAGAATTGAAATCATGTATTTTTAATATAACGGGTTTTTAAATAGGGACAATACAAAAGTAGACCGATAGGGACAGCAAACGACGTTATATTTTTCCCCGTATTTATTTATTTTTTTTTTTTTTGACATTTTTGTTCAGTAAGGTTTGCCATTTCATCAAGGAGTCATGAAAGTCGAAATTATTAAAACTTATTACAGCAATTCGAAGTCAGTGGCCTCAACTGTAAGAGAGGATTTTTCAATAAGAGCGCTACAAATTTCTTTTTATTTTGTTATATATTTCAATGGGACGGCGCCACAAACCACAAAGCGAATGTCACAATCGAATTATTGTAAACCAAGTTTGGTGAACGAAATGGTCCAGTGCGATGTGACGCCGTTAGAATATTTCCTACGGGGCTACGTCAAGTCGTATGGTATATGCCAACAAGCCAGCGACGATTGATGAACTTCGTACATATATCGAACATGAAATTGTTTAGTATCGGCCGATTTATGCTAGAAAACCTCCGAAAATTGTGTTCAGCGTTTGGACTTTTGCAAGAGTGTCTGGTGGCCATACATAATGGCATCGAACATATTTTCACATGATTAAAGAATTTCATTATTTCCCAAACCATTTTTATTTTATTTAAGAAAATGTTTTGTAGCGCTCTTGTTGAAAAAACCCGTTACCTTCATTATTTGAATTAGCCTTTCTACCTGATTCCCCTATAACAGAACTCCTACAGGGCTCGTCCGGCAATAGGATTGTTTTTTTTTTCGCCGCGATTGTACACGTGCCGGCCGGCAGGGTTACCCAGATGTTGATTTTCAAGAAGTGATGTGTTTCTGAGGCACCAGGCCGTTTTGGAGGGTCGGGAGGGAAGAGGCCTTATCAAAACCAAAAAAACAAAAAAATGTGACGGGTACGTTTTTTATTAACATCCACGACGGCTTTAAGGCAGTTTACGTGCATTCCATTTATCAGCTTTTTTTTTTTAATATTTTGTGTCGGTTCTTTACTATTTTTATATGCAAGTCGAAACCAAACAGATTCATTTTTTTATCCATCCGTGAATAATACCAATAAAAATATAATGTTACTGAAAATTTCTAATCAATAACCTTAATATGTAAACTAGCCGAGGGCCAACACGTAGCATCATTCTAAGTATTTTTTTTTTTTTTTTTTGCTTGGCAAATTCAACGCATTGTATTTAATTTTCATGTCTAAAAGGCCTTCTCCTGTCAGTCCTCTTCATGCTTTTGAATTTGAATTAAAATGGAAATTTAATTTTTAAACCCACCATCAGGAAATTTTTGAATTAGAAAAATCGCTGTTATTTTTCCAATATGATTGGTTATCATGTGGAAATTTATTAACACATGTATTAATCTATTGCTTTTTTACAGAGTGAAGCTATTATCTCATTTCTTCGGGCTGCCCGGAGTGGTGATTTGGGAAAAGTATTAGAGTTTTTGGAATCAGCGCAAATCACAGATATCAACGCTTGTAACGCTGTAAGTATAACGATCTTTCGTATTGTAGGTAATAATACTTATTTTGAACGCTAAAAACGGGTTCAATAAATCAAATTTCTGAAAACGATTCTGAAGCGATATAACATATTATGTTATCTTACACAATCATATTCTTAGAGTTTCCGTCACAGAGAACAAGGAGAGAATTCAGTTTTGTGAGACTGACTTCAGAGGAAGACTTTATGTCGCTTAAAGCGGCGATATATATGGATTGTTACTTTGTAAAAGTATTTATATATTTGGGGTACTTACAACGTGTCATAAAACATCGTAAAATCATAAATTTTTATACTAGTTTAAGAAATTTGTTTTTCTATTGCATACTAAAATAAGTTAACGCACATACAACTCTGAACGTTATGTTTTCGGATCGTTATAACTTATAGCTTTATGATACCATTCGAAACCCCTCACTATATATGTATATTACTTGACCTAAACCCGCTCGTTTGGATGTTGGGACTGGAAACATATCTTTATTACGTTATTGTCAATAATATCGTGTACTCATTGCAAATTACAATTGGGCAACACTTAAAACACTATAGATATTCCGCTATTTGTTTAGGTTATGTGTATATCTGTTTCGTATCATACGAATGCCTGTCCGTGGTTCGCCCATCATCTGACAAAGTAGGCGCCAGCCTGGTAATGCATCTGCCAATGCGATTTTCTGATATTAAAATGTCTTGACGGTTCCACATGTTGTTTCCAAAAAAAAAACCGGTTGTTCATTAATAACAATCAGTATAATCCGTTTACATATGTACAAGGAGAGTTCCGAAGTAAACAGAACTTTTTGAATCTAGCGCCACTGGTGGCGCCAGCTACATATATGTCGACCAGTGCGTTAGAATCTGCTATCCTTATCGATTGTCTATTGAGAATTTTATGACATTTCATTGATTGGAAGTGAAGTTATTGCGTTTTAAGCGTGAGTACGTTTGTGTTATCGGTGTGAAAATGAGCTGCGAACAAAGAGCCAACATCAAATTTTGTTCTAAAATTGGTAAAACTTTTACCGAAATGTTTCAATTGATGAAACAAGCGTATGCCGATAATTGCCTATCCCATAGCAGAGTGGTTTCAACGGTTTCAAAGTGGTCGTGAGGACATCAAAATCCGTAATCACCGGAAATTCCATCGAAACTGTTCATGAATTCAACGAAATCATCACTGAAGTTCATGAAAATGGAATTGAACATTTTCAAAACATCGATTTATCGCATTTTGACCGAACATTTCTAATTCTTCTTAATTGGCGTAGACACCGCTTACGCGATTATAGCCGAGTTAACAACAATCGGATATTCCAAGCGTAGCCAGGTCCTTCTCCATCTAGTCCTTCCAATGGAGTGGAGGCTTCCTCTTCCTCTGCTTTCCCGGGCTGGTTCGGGCAACATGACCTAGCCAGCGTAGCCGCTGTCTTTTTATTCGCTGAACTATGTCAATGTCGTCATATATTTCGTACAGCTCATCGTTCCATCGAATGCGGTATTCGCCGTGGCCAATGCGCAAAGGACCATAAATCTTTCGCAGAACTTTTCTCTCGAAAACTCGCAACGTTGACTCATCAGCTGTTGTCATCGTGCAAGCCTCTACACCATATAACAGGACGGGAATTATGAGTGACATATAGAGTTTGGTTTTTGTTCGTCGAGAGAGGACTTTGCTTCTCAATTGCCTACTCAGTCCGAAGTAGCACCCGTTGGCAAGAGTTATCCTGCGTTGGATTTGCAGGCTGACATTGGTGGTGTTTACGCTGGTTATCTACGACTTCAAATTTATGACTGTCAACAGTGACGTGAGAGCCTAGTCGCGAGTGCGACGACTATTTGTTTGATGATAGGAGAAATCTCGTCTTGCCCTCGTTCACCGCCAGATCCATTTGTTTTGCTTTCTTGTCCAGACAGCAGAAAGCAGAACTAACGGCGCGGGTTTTGAGGCCGATGACACTTTTATAGAAGATTATAGCTTCTCTATTTAGTTCTTAATTAGTTATAAAAATATACTCCTTTTAATTTCTTTGAAAACAAATCTTCATTTTCTAAAAAATGTGCTATCTGGGTGGCCAAGGTATTTTAGAGGGAGTTCAAGTTTTTCAATTAATACTAATTATTCGTGAATTTCTATTTGCTGTTTTTTACTTAAATGGGTAAACTAATAAACAAGTAATCATATTTTAAATCTATTTTTATCTTTAAATTTTTTTTGTCAATTGTACAAGCGCTAATTGCTTCTTATGACTAAGGGTGATATTTGCGTGACCATGGCTGTATGTACACATAGTTTGTGAAATCGTCGGTGATTTTGCAAAAATGGGGGGACTAAAGAAGGTTCTGTGCACTTGGTACACATGTTTCTCGCATCGTAAGACTATCGTTGGTGTTGCAAATGGGCCTAATCAGACCACTGCCACGTCCACTACACTTCATTAAGATAGAACCTATAGTGCTAGGCAAAGGGCATCGCAGAAACTAGGGGACTGAAAAGGTCGCGGCCCTGTCCTCTAATTGGTTTAACGTCGAAATCTCTCAAACCACTTAATCCACAAACACCAAATTAGCTCAGGACAAGTTGTTTAAACACCCGTCTATGTAAAGTTGGGTGAAATCTGAAGGTATCCTCTTTCGACTCCTACATATTAGGTACGTAACATTCTATTCACATTCCTACTGTATGTAACTGTGTGAAAATAGACGAAATCGAAAACCACGCATATATGCCATAGAGCACGTATCAGACCTTCTGCCCATAATTATCTCGATCGAAAAATCCCCAGATTTTGTTTCTGTGGACAACCGTACCTTCGTTAACTTTAAAAAAGCTAATTAGGTCGGCTTCACAGAATTTTCTGAGAACACTTTCAACGCTTTTCCCATTTCTACGGACGTATTCGGTAGCGAACGTCAACTCCGCAAGGTGATCGCAGCAACTACTCGTTCCATCCCGGCTGTAAGAATTGCAGAAATCTGTCCAATATTCCTAGCCGCAGCAGCTGTTGTAGCAAATATGCGCGACACCTTACGCCTTAACTTTTCGGACGAAGAAGTGCGGGAGTTATTTTAGCCAACAGTTTACACTGCACTCTTCGGTAGACAAAGCCATACGATGTGCTAGCCGACGGCTGCGCAAAATGCCAAAAGACTGCGCAACACTTACTTTCACTGATGAGGAGCTTCAGAATGTCATCTCAAAGCGAAATCGCCTAGTCCATTGTCCCTGATGAAGTCAACTTGCTCATGCTAACGCATCTAGGCTCAACGAGAGTAAGCTACCTCACCAAGGTTCTCAACTAGCCCCTAACCACTCTTCAAATATATCGAATATGTCGGTCAGGGTAGGAGTTAAATCTATATAATATAGAATTGCTTGGATTCCGATCCTCTGTTGGACGATTTACAGCTTAAAGTATTTCGCTGGCTTTGATTCTTACAACTTTCAAATATCGGTCAGTTTGAGAGATACATAATTGATATTCTGGAATAATCCTTTCCTAACCATGGTATGTCTATGTGTCAAACATGGATTGAATCGTGTCACTATTGTCCTTAGATCCCAAGTACATAACAAAACGTTTTCCGAGCTTCCAGGTGACTTTATACCGCATATATTGGTCAACATGTGAGCTATAGCAATGAAAATGAAACAGTGTGTTTTTCTCATAACAATGTATCTTTGTGCGTAAAATGGATAAAATTGAGCGAAACATATAACTTCCGTGTGACTTTACTCCTTATGATTGGGAATAGTATGTGAGGTACATTAATGAATCTGTAGAAGCATTTTATTATGATGTATCGTTTTAATAATTTTTATAATTGGCAAAAATGTATAAAATCAAATTGATACCACCCCCAATACCCATATACTAGATATTCGGTTCGACGGGGTCGAACCAAAGGGAAAAGGGTGTTAGATGAGTAGGGTTGGTGGGCGGGGCATGTAAAGAGGTGGTCAGTGTCATGCGGAGACTCATTGTACGCAGGACATAAGTTAGATATATCGGGGTCTATTTTGGACAAGTAGAAGTTCAATCTGCTAGATGTTACTAGGAGGCGGTTCCGCTCCAAGCAGATGACTGCAAGGATAATTTCTGCGAAAACATCCCAGCAGGAACTGCTTGGAGAGGAGTTCATTATGCTCCTTGACTGGGAGCATAAGCGTCTCGCTGTGTAGGTGCTCGATGGGAGACATCAGGAGGCATCCCGTCGTGGTCCGGAGTGCTGTATTCTGGCAGGTCTGTAGTTTCCTCATCTGCGTGCTACTGCATCCAGGCGTCCATATGGGTGCTGCATAGTTGAGGACCGGCCGGCCTTGTAAGTTGCCAACAACGTTTCTTTGTCTTTTCCCCATGTGCTGCCGGCTAGCGACTTGAGGATTTTGTTGCGGCTCTGTACTTTGCCGATAATCACGGTCGTATGTGGAGAGAAGGAGCATAGACGGTCGAAGGTGACACCTAAAATTTTAGGGTTATTGACAGTCGGAATTTTGACGCCGTCGACTGCAATATTAAGTTCCAGTCTATACTCCTTCGTCCAGTCCGAGAATATGGTCGCTGTGGATTTGGTAGGGGAAAGTTGGAGGTTCCGTTGGAGAGGTAGTTGTTTACCTTCGAACACATGCCATCGATTCCATTGCCCGACGTCAATATCGTACAATCATCAGCGTACGAGGTTATGGAAACCCCCACTGTATTTGCGGGAGTTTCGAAATGTAGAAGTTAAACAGTAGCGGGGAGAAGACACAATCGTGTGGAACTCGTAGTTTAATTCTTCTCAGTTTGGATATTTCTCCTCGAAATAGTACGGATGATTTAACGACCGCTCAGGTAGTTCATGGTCCAGTACTGGAGGAAGCGTAGTTTGTTCAATGTCCTGAAGTAGCGTTGTGTGATTGACCGTGTCAAAAGCTTTTGACAGGTCCAACGCYAMGAGRATCGTTCTCTCACAGGGTGGTTTCTGGTTGAGGCCACGAACTATCTGAGCGTTTATGACGCTAAGTGCTGT